CCTTTTCGCTCCAAATTTGCTCATTTTTGCACTTTTTTTGCTCCAATGACCCTAATTCATCATTCCTGCAACAAAAAATCAAAAATACCTTTCTTTAAAGTGCAATATCATTAAATACAATATAAAGTAGGTATGAAAATCTCAACATATTTTCCTTTGGTCACTCAGCGACACCACCATGTTTACTATTTTGATTTGCCTTATTTTTCTCTTTTGCATCATGTTGCATGTCTGCACATCTGCATGTGTTTTCCTTGTTTCTTTCTATGATATAGGATTTCTACGATGCAATTTAAGCTCTTTAAGAATTAAAATCCTTATCTTTCTACTTCAAAATTCTAAATAAAATATTCAAGATCATTAAATTTTAGAATTAAAATATTCAGGATTTAAAAATTACAACATTTACTTTCCTTCATATACTAATAGGGCCTTTATAATACTTAGGACCGCTCTCGATAACTGCATTCATGTTTGCATGTCCCAAGGAGGAGTCCCTGTGCTTGTTCTATATGATTGACCCATCATATCTTTATATAAGTGGTTTTCTAGTGCGCCTAGGGTGTTAGAATGCTCCCTGACTTAGGTTCAATTTGGTTAGAAGGCTCCCCGACTTAGGTTCAATTTTGGTTGAACCTAATGTTTAGGTTGACTTAGATTCGATTTGAACCTAAGGTTTAAGTTGACTTAGGTTCAATTTGGGTTGAACCTAAAGCTTAGGTTGACTTAGGTTCGATTTGGTTCGAACCTAAGGTTTAGGTTGACTTAGTTTCGATTTGGGTGGAACCTATGGTTTAAGTTGACTTAGGTTCAATTTGGGTTTAGGTTCAAGTTAACTTAGGATCAATTTGGGTTGAACCTAAGGTTTGGGTTGATTTAGGTTCAATTTTAGTTGAACCTAAGGTTTAAGTTGACTTAGGTTCAATTTGGGTTGAACCTAAGGTTTACTTAAAACGATACGTATACTTGCATAGTTTAAAATTCAATATGCCTTAGTGTGAAACCTATTACTTTAAATTTTATAACATTACAATTGTTTTCACTAGCCAAGAAATATAAATTGGGTCAAGATTTTGGCCATATTTTTGAACAAAAATATCTGTGTAATTGCGGGTCGGGTCATATAACATTAATAATAAACATAAAACCCATCTTATTGGATTTACAAGAATCCCTCAGATGAAGTAACCTACGGTTGCTAAATAGAATTCTCTGAGCTAAACAAGTTTGATCGCTTGCTTAAACTAAGTAAATCCAAAATTAACGATGATGTCGGGAGAACAAAATTGCGAGATCTTGACCGGTGTGACTTAACATAATTAAAATATCCCCATTTTCCTTACTTATTTTTTACAACGATGAACACTAATTCAAAACACATTGCATAAGATCACACTAAATAACAATAAGGACTTAGGATAGATCATTCTAAGCATAGTTTCTCTCCTCTCTCTCCTTGTCACTGAACGAGGCAATGACGTCATTGGGCAGCAGTCAACCTTCGTGCAATGATCCAGACTACCATATGAAACCAAAGATGGTCTTCAACGAATCTTTCATAATATCTAAGAAGTGTTAGGTAAAGTTATCATAAAATTTTTTGTAGTCATCCTACAATATGTTTCTCTTCTAGTAAATCTATTCATAGCAATAAATTAACTTGTGTGCTAAAAAAATAAAATGGAAGGCTTGCCCCATATAGTTCAACCCTATTTAGTAATCACTAGGTTAAAATTACTGCCTATGCTATCTTGTTTGTGAGAAATTCTAAGAATTTTTTACATAAGCAGACTTATTTTGAATTAAATATTTTTTATATTCATTGGATGAACATTTATAAGAGTAGAAATATAAATTTAAGAGTAATATAATTGATTCTATTTGAAAATTCTATAATTTTTAATATTTTTCTATTAGGTTTTGCGTGGCATGTTTTTCTGACATTTATTCTTAGTTATTTTTTTCTTTTTTCTTTATCTACTTTTGTTAGTTTATATGTATGGGTTTGGAGCTTTGTTGCTTTTGTCAATTTCAATATCTCAGATATTCAATTGCATGTATATATATATATATATGATACTACATTTGTTCTTAGTCTAGTTTGCAGATATTACATTTGTTCTTAGCCTAGTTTTCTGATTTTATACTTGGTCTAAGTTTCAATCTTGATTGCCCTTTTTCATATTTTGGTTTGGTGTTTGTAGGTTTCCACATGTGCATTAAATCCCAACTGTCTTTTCTATATATTTAACTGTATGCAATATTCTTGGATGAAGAATTAATGTATTGGCTGTTTTGGTTAATTTGGATTTTTTAGTTGTTACTATTTATTTCTTTATTGGGCTTTGTTTGGATAGTTGAGGAAGGTTTTTTTGTCTAATGTTTTGGTTTATAGTTGGACCAAGCTTAGGTTGGCTCTTATTTGTTTTGTTTTGGTGCTTTTGGTTAGCTATGTTTAGCTTTTTTTTCTATGATCCTGTAGCAGTTAGGCTTGTTATTTTTAATATAAACAAATTTACATTTGATTTTTCTTAAAAATTTAAGTTTGGTTGAGATGGTTCGTGGTGATGATTTTCAAACTTATATTAAAATTCAATTGTGATTTTTAAATATTTTTTTAATTAATTATTATCCGGAAAGAATTTTAATAATTGTGTGTAGGTAAGTTTGGAGCTCATGGTTAATTTTTTCTCTTCTATTTGTTTATTAGAAGGTTCGTGGTTTTACTATTTTTCTCTTTTATTCCATTTCGAGATGGATGCTCGTTTGTTGATTTCAGGAGTTGATTTGAACTGACCTTTTCAATTAGTAGTTGTTTGTATTTCTTATGTAATGGATGTAGCTCGAATTGGAGGTTCGCCTAATCTTTACAATTTTTGTTTCTGGGACAAGTGGTCCTTTTTTTTCTTATTGGAGAGCCAGAGCTTATGGATTCTTTTCTTACTTTTATTAGTGCCTTTTGAGCTGATCCTATGATGTAATTTGTTTTAGTTGTTGGTTTGTTTTTTTTATTATTTTTTTGTGTGATGTTAAGTTGTATGCTTGTCTGTGTTTGTAATTTCATTTTCTTATTAAATAAAGTTAAGCGTGGCCTTCATTTTCCCAAAAGAAAAAAAAAAAAAACCCCAACAACTGAACGAATCAACAGAGAGTACTGGTTGGCGACTGCAGCAAAAGGTGAATGGGCAATGACACAACTAATGGGTAATAGTTAGAGCTCCGAAAAATACTCAGAAAATTAAAATTTAATAAGCTATTTTTACAAAAAAATTGATTTGTACTTACAATTAAAAATAAAAAAAAACATTTAAAAACGATTAAAAAATACTTTTTAAAAAAATCCCATATAGAACATAAGGCATAAAATTTTAAACTTTTTTCCAATTAAACTTTTCAACACCCTCAAATATAGACATCTTCATAAATACAACAATTCTTATATATACAGGCATCAGACGCCTAAACTTTTATATTTATACACATAAAATTCAAATCATTGATATCACATAAAAAACTAATCACCACTTGCTTCTTAAAAATGAAACACATTTTCATAATAGCTTTTTAATATTAACAATTTATAAACATAAAAGCAAAAATTTTAATGTTAGTTATGTAAATGCATCACAATTGTGATATGATTATATCTAATTATATTTCTCAAAAAAATTTGCATGAATATCTCAATGCTCATTCCTTAACCGCCCCAACAAACAAGAACGTTAGTTGACAATCACGTTTCCAACATCCCAGCAATTATAACACATTTATAAAACACCCAACTCTCACCCATCATCCTTACTCACCCAGAAAACACAAACACCCACCATGTCCCCCGACCAAATCCAACCAGTAACCATCGTCGCCGTCCCCTTCCCCGGCCAAAGCCACCTGAACCAACTCCTTCACTTCTCACTCATCCTCTCCAGCCGCAACCTCCCCGTCCACTTTGCCGCCCCTTCCTCCTCCATCCACCAAGCCCAATCGCGCCTCCACGGCTGGCCGTCCGCTTCCCTCCTCAACATTCACTTCCACGAACTCCCTCTCCCTCCTCCCACTCCCCTTTCTCCTTCCTCTCCCCCTCACCTCGCCCACGCCCTCCGCCTCTTTGAAACCCCCCTCCTCCTCCGCCCCTCCCTCTCCTCCCTCCTCCACTCCCTCTCCCTTTCCTCCCGCCGACTAATCCTTCTCCACGACACCTTCATGTCTGTAGCCGCCCTCGAAGCTGCTTCCCTCTCCAATGCCGAATCCTACACCTTTCAATGTGTTTCTGCTTTCCAAGCCCTCTTCGAGCTCCAGCCCAATCTCCGACCGAAAACCCGTACAAACCCCTTTGTTGCGGCTCACTTCGAAGACTGGGTTCCGGCGCCGATTCTCGAGCGCGTCAAGCTGCTTGAGCATCACCGACCAGTTGAAGTTGGGATTATTGCGAACAGCTGCCGGCCTCTTGATGGCGAATTTGTAGATCTTCTGGCCAACGAATACTGGCCGAAGAACATTTTTGCGGTTAGCCCTCTGCATCTGATTGGCCCGAAGCTAGCAGGTGGGTCGGAGAAGAGGCATCAATGCTTGATGTGGCTGGATAAGCAGCCGCCGGCTTCGGTCGTTTACGTATCGTTCGGATCGACCACGACGATGAGCGGTGCACAGGTTCAACAGCTGGCTATCGGCCTCCGGCGAAGTGGCCAGCGTTTTATTTGGGTGGTAATGTCACTGTTGTTCCAGGACCTTAGTCTCTGCTACAAATTCAAATCATGTCTTTTTATTATTATTATTTTTCTTGGCTCACATAAATCTGGACAGATAAGGGAGGCGGACGAAGGGGCGATTGGGTCGGAAGGTGAGAACGGAAACGGCAGCTTGCCTGCGGGGTTCGAGGAGGAGATGCAGGGGGTTGGAATGTTGGTCAGGGGATGGGCGCCGCAGGTGGAGATATTGGCGCACCTCTCGACGGCGGCCTTCGTGAGCCACTGCGGGTGGAACTCGACCATGGAGAGTTTGAGCAGTGGTGTGCCGATCATTGCGTGGCCGATGCAGATCGACCAGCCCCGGAACGCCATGGTTTTGACGGAGTACTGGAAGGTTGGGGTAATAGTGCGAGAGTGGGATCACCGGAAGGAGGTGGTGTCGGCAGAAAGGGTGGAGGAGGTTGTCCGGATGGTGGTGGTGGAGGAGGAGGGGAAGGTGATGAGGGACAGAGCGAGGAAGATAGGGGAGGAGATACGGAGGGCCGTAACTGAGGATGGAACATCGATTGCTGATTTGAATGCCTTTGTTGCTCATATCACACGCAATGGATGATGGGGATTGCATTCGGTTAAATTAAGAGTGAGGTCTAATAATGGACTGATTAAGTTGTTATCTAAAATGTAGTTTTAGTAGTTTGTATTTCTGTTTCTTTTTTTCATTATTAATGTCTATGTTGCTGTTGTTGTTGAAATAATTAACAAGCATTATTAATTTGTAATATCACAAACTTTCTCTCTAAACAAATCATTTCATCATTACAAGCATCATTATCTTTCTCTTCTCCTTCTTCTTTTGCTTTTTTGTACATTCTCTTCTTTTTCTCACTTTCTATCTATTTTTTATTGTGTACTACCTCACGACTCGCTTTAGTAAGATTCCAACATTATCGATATAAAAATGTGAATCTAATATCTTAAAAGATGCAAGTGAACAAATTGCTTCATTGTTAGGTCATCCCATATATATGATTTAACTTAATTCATATCACCTAATTAATTTATATATTTATTCATTCATATCATCAATCAAATAATTTAAATCCTCCATATAATCTACATTAATATTTGATTGAATCATATTTGGGAATAGAGATGTAAACGAGTCAAGTCGAGCACGAGCCGCCCTCGGCTAGAGCTTGAACGTTTACTTTTTATGGAGCTCGAAGTTGAGCTTAAGTCTAAAAGATTGAGTTGACTCACAAGCCGACTTGTTTAAAATAAAAGAGGCAAAATGATATTAATTTTAAATAACTTTATAATAAGTTCACATACAAAATGAATAATTAAGAGATAAAAAAAAAAGAAATCTCCTTATATACAATAAAATATATTATTTTCTTAACATTTTTAAAACCTTAAACACAATTTTTAAAATTTAATATATTTTGAGTATATTTTATGTTAATATTTTTTTAAATGAGCCGGTTCACGAGCTAGCGAGTCGAGTTGGGGCTGACTTGAGCTTAGTTTGTTAACTCATCGAACACTGTTCACGAGCCACTTATTGAGCGGCTCACAAGTCGGCTAGAATCACTTGCACCCCAATTTGGGAAGGCTTTGGTGTCCCATGCATGAAGAAACATAAAATTATTTATTTTCAAATCATATTAAAAGTATTCCTCAGTTAAATAAATCTTTTAATATAAAGGTTATTTTAAGTATTTGAATTAAATTTTTCACTCTCCTCCCTCTCTTAACAGTCCCACTTAATGCCTAAATTAATCTAATTTAAAGAAAATAAAATTTAAAAATCAAATTATTACCTTAAATAAATTTCCTACTTCTTTTCTTGGCCTGTACGAACCCAACCTCTCTTCATTCTAAATTTATTCAAGTGGCATTATAGCTTGCATCGCTTGCTGTTACACCCTTGACCAATTCTTACTACATTCAAAGTGGTGCCTATCTATTGCTTCAAACTATTCAGTTTTCTCTCCTCTTGCTTTGGAAAAATTATTCCACACCTTGCGTGCGGTGTCCGATTCGGACCGTAAGTCACCTGATCTACGGACCCAATTTATTTCGGTGAACCCCACCTAATTTTTTTTTTTTTTTTTAAAACGGAAATAATCCTGACCGTAGATCACCGTGATCTACGGTCAAGATCGGACACCGCATGCAGAGATACATGCAGTGCCCGGATGCAAAAACGCAATAATCTCTCTCTAGCTCTAAGCTTCAAGCTCATACAAGGTAGAAAACCTGTTTTCTTTCATCATTAAAATTTGCCAAATTATCTTTAATATTTTATTTTACATCTCCATATTTTCATTAATGAAGCTTTGGTGAAATTTTCCTCTTGATCATGTTTTTTGGATCTTAAAATTTATGATTTTTTGGGTTATTTAAAGAGGTTTGTGTTCTTACTTTCCTAAAAGAGTCTTTAATATTTGTATCATTCATACATAAAATATTTTGATTTTAAATTTTAATTTTTGTTCTGATATTTTAAAATGGAAAATTATTTTCATAAAATCTTTCATGTTTGATTTAGCATCAAATGCAAATATATGTTTTTATAAAATTAAATTTTTTTATCTAAAATTAGTTTTCATTTGATTAAACATCAAGATCAAATTAAATCTGTGAATATTTTTTTTTACCATATTTTTCTTAGGCAAGATTATGAGCAAAACTAATTTTAAAATTAGAGTGGTAGATGGTTGTACTTTTATTTACCTATTATTGTATTTATGTGATTTGGGGTTATACTTGCCCTCTGTAGGAGAGAGAAAATATTGCATCAGAACTTTGCAGGTAGAGTTAAATGCGGAGTCCAATAAAATCACCCCACATGGCGGTGACAGAAAAAAAAAATTGTCTGATAACATAGGGGAATATTCCTCTGGTGTTATTCAAGTGTTATTGTGTGTTATTCAGGTGTTATTATGTGTTATTGATGTGTTATTGATGTGTTATTGTATTATTATAACACCGAAAATATTCTAATAACACAATAACACGTAAATTATATACAATAATACCTGAATAGCACAAAATAAGAATATTCCCCAATGTTACCTGACCGATTTTTTTTTGTCATCTCCATGTCGTGTGATTTCACTGGACTCTGCACGTAACTCTACCTACAGAGTCCAAATGCAATATTTTTTTGGAGAGTATGAGAGATACTTTGTAATTTTATTTTTGATGTAATGAATTATTAGTCGAGGGTGGCTAGATGTGGAATAGGCAACTTTTGGGTTTGTTAGAACCACATAAAAATTATTGTCTCTATTTCTATGATTGCTTTTGCGTTTTGCTGATTACCTTAAATTTATTTATAAGAAATCTTATAAATTTTTTTATCATTAAATTTCTACATAAGTTAAAAACTTTTTATCTTAACTTGAAATAATTCTTTTTTAAATACCCAATTCAACCATCCTCTTGCGTGTGATAGCCTTCTAATAATTACTATCACAACCTCAGCTCACTTGTTGTCATAACATCCTTGAGTTATCACTAAGACAAGAATTTTCTAAGGGTGCAGCCTGAAAAGAAA